GTGCCCGACTATATCTTTTAATTTGTATGTGAATATTTTCTAGAAGAGAGATGATAAATAATCATAACCGCAGGACTTCCGTTGAAACTATGCTATATAAGTGTATAGGCTTTTTTTTTTTTAAACTGTGTCCGTACAATTTAGGTATTTGTAGTTTTTAGTTCACGGAGAACATAAGTTTCCTTTCTAGAATTATTACGTTATCTTTGCACAATTTAGCATTGCCGGAATTTCACCATCTTGCATTCAATAATGGCTAGGAATTATTTTCTTTGTTTGTTCCTAACAGGGAGGCTAGCACGTCTCGTCCGATTTCAAAAGAGGGATCTGGTGAGGTAGCCCTGTCGATTTCCAGATTCATTGATGCGTGCAAGGCTGATCAAATCCGTTTGGCACCTGATAAGTGTACTGATCATCATCCCAGCGAGTGATACATTTAATTTTGAGGAATGATTTTTAGTTATTTCAATGACTTGTGGATGATTTCATTTGCAGTTATATCTGTTTGTAGAAGGTTCAAGGATCAAGTTCTGTTGGCTGAAGCCCCAATACGAGGAGTTGCTCCGATGCTGATAGCTGTTCGGAAGCTTCAAATATCCTCTGAACAATTAACCCCTTTACATCCGGATTTTCTTCTTCTCTGTTTGCTGGCTAAGTGTTATAAAACCGGTCTCTCTGTCCTGGAGACTATATATATGAGGTCGATCAGCCTAGGGATTTCTTTCTCTATTGCTATTACGGGTGAGTTGCTTTACTATAACCAGTGCTCTTGTTACCTCAGACCTTCTTAGAGCCTCTTATGCTTGCAGATGATTTGGTCATTTGTATTGGCAACTGGAAATAATCTTTGATTCCTACCGTTGAAATCTGTTGACTTGAATATGTGAATTTAGAGGGTAGTTGCATTCCAGTTTTTAAATGAAATGCTAGCTTCAATGAGAGCAATCATATGTAGCTTATCTTTGGAGAAGATGTGTTCATGATTTTCGTGACTTGCAGCTAATATTTTGAAATTATATATTCGCTTGCCTAAATTGTGGATTGCCACTTTCTAATAAAATTTGTATCTTGTAGGGGATGATTTGCATTGGTCAAAAGCAGTTTCGTAAAGCATCAGAGCTATTGCACAATGTACGTTTGCATGTTTGCAGATTACTTTGAGATGGAATCTTCTTCTTTTATCCTTGCTTTCATATAAGTAACGCTATTATCTACCATGTTTTCACCGTCCAGGAGATATAACATTAGATTTAGAGCTTAGATGAAAAATTTCTGCAGGGATTTGTGCAAGTAGGAATGTACTAGTACTTCTGTTTAAATTCGAGTAATTTATTTTATTTTTCGCCCTAGGGGTTTCTCTAATTCCTGAAAGCTCTCTTACTCCTTTCATTTCATCCCAAGCTTTTGCTTTTGCTGCATATTTCGCTGGCTGCTCTAAGAATCTGGCCACATTTGACTTGGCATAAGTACCATGGGCTGCATTCATATTTTCAATGCCAGCTGTCAGCATTCTTGAGCAAATTCTCAGTGTAAAAGAAGATGATCTGGGTTTTCCTGTATGCTTTGCACAAAACTCTCCAACTTCTCGTGCATCTTGTTTCTTGGTCCCCGAGTTTTGAGGTGTAAGAGTATCATTATATTGTGGGCTTGCATTTTACTTCTGATTGCTATGGATGGTTAGACTAGGTTCATTATCTTAACACAATCATATTATTTTGCAGGTAGTGACTGCACCTATGTCCACCATAAATGCCATAGCAGTTGAAGCATACAAAAAGTACATACTGGTTTCGCTAATTTACGCTGGGCAGGTTTTGCTTTTTTCTCGTCTTTATTTTTTATTTAATCTTTATGTAAATAATTGTTGAGAAATTCTTTTTCATTGTTTGTACATGGTTTTAAGTTTGAAAGAAAGAACAAGGCTAATTTTCCTGAAAATGAGCAAGCTGGGCTGCTGAAATTTGGCCAAGTATCTAAATAGTGCATAATATAACAATGTAGGATAAGGCGTTGATCTATTGGCCTTTAGTTTGGTCTGGTTTGGAGTACTCATACTGCCTATAACTTTATATGGTTGCAGTTCTCTACCAGTTTTCCAAAGTACACTTCTTCAGTTGCTCAAAGGAATTTGAAGAACTTCTCTCAGGTAAACGTTTATTTCTCTCTGTAGATTTAACTTTGCACAGAAATTGTTTAACTAAATATAGATATAATTCCTAAGAGTATTTATGTGTCTATTTGGAATAGACAGATTACAACAATTTGCAATGTCACAGCATTGTTCATCTCAATGAATTCAAGAATAGAACTCTAGATACTTTCATGGATAGATATTGTGGACATTATCAATAGTTATTCTGGTGTGCATCAAATCTCCGTATAATGATGCATGTTTTCAGTGAAGTTGTTCACCTTCAATTTGTTCCATAAAAGAAAGCAGAGATTTCATTGTCTTTCTTGGGCATTGTCTGATCTGCCCCTTTCATGGTTCATTGAAGCGACTTTTACTTTTTTTTTCATTTTTAGTGGCTTCACAAAATTTAGCAAAAAGGTACTCAAAGACAATGAAATTTAAAGCCTACAAGGTTAATTCAATTTCTGACCTGTTGGAAAACAGAAAAGAAAAGAAACACAAACAACCCTTAACAGGCAACCATTTCTTACAAGAAGCCGAACAATAACCTTAAGTCTGCCATCCCCCTCCTCTTAGGCAGATGAAACACCCATAGCAAAAAAGCTAGGACTGGGTGGAGCAGTAAGTCAACCTGTCTGAAATTAGATTGAAACAAATAAGAGTTATTTTTACTGAAGTAACTGGTTTTGTTTTTGAATCATGAGGTTGAAGAATGTTAGATTTTGGCCACAGATGAACAGTGGCTCCGTGGTGTTTGCTTCCTATCTGTATACGCATCGTTTTAGTGTTTACTGGATTCTTTGCAGTGATTGATTTTTTAATGGATGCAGCTGTGTGACATGTTTTCACTTGAAATCATTTCTTGTTTTCCCTTTGTTGAACAGCCCTACCTTGACCTTGCCATCAGTTATAGCACTGGGAAAATTTCCGAGCTGGAATCTTGTGTCCAGATGCACAAGGAGAAGTTTGAAGCTGTGAGTTTTCAGTGGCCTGTTAAGTTAATCATTTATTAAAAGTTAGTGAAATAAAATCTTGGCATCTATGTGCTGCATAAGAAGTCATTTTATGACATTCACCAAGTTTTGGGATGTCTGATCTGTTGTATGCTGTTTCTTTCTCAGGATAACAATCTTGGAGTGGTAAAGCAAGTGGTGTCTTCTATGTATAAACGCAATATTCAGAGGTTGACTCAAACATATCTGACTCTCTCGCTTGAAGATATAGCTAATAGCGTCGAGTTAAAGAGCTCCAAGGAGGCTGAAATGCATGTACTTCAAATGGTATGTATATAACCTGCTCTTGTTGATTTCTGCCTATAGTAGAGGCATAAGATTGTGGTAACCATTATACTCATTTTTCACCATAGATTCAAGATGGTGAGATATATGCAACAATAAATCAGAAGGATGGAATGGTTAGATTTTTGGAGGATCCCGAGCAGTATAAAACCTGTCAGATGATTGAACACATTGACTCATCAATTCAGAGGTGAGGCTTGGAATTTTTTTCACCTCAAGTATCCATCTGGACTCTGTAGGGTTATATAGGAGTATTTGCTTATTATGGTTTGCCATTACCTTTCCATCATTTTTATGAAGCATGAATATATTGTGCTTTATTGCACTACATTTCAGATTCTATAAGAGTTAAGAAAAGGCTTGAAGTCTTGAAATATGGCTTTTTTTTTAAAAATTTTTGGTTGTGTTTTTAACTCTGACATGGAAATTAGTAGTGTCTAAATACTGCATTAAGCGTGCAACTTAATAATGTATTTCTTTTTTAATGTCACAGAATAATGGCACTGTCAAAGAAGCTGAGCGCTATGGATGAGCATATCTCATGTGATCCTTTGTACCTTGCTAAGGTAAATTCCGTTATAATTTCCTTGGCATTTTGTAGACACTTGAGGGGTTGAGCTTATTCTTCTAAATTGATATTCTGTATATATTTTTTATCCTCTCAATCAAGCAAGCATTATTTTTTGTCTGTTTACAGGTCGGTCGGAACGACACAGATTTGATTTCGAAGATTTCGACAGTGTCCCCCAAAAGCTCAACATGTGAGACACTCTTGGCCTCCGTCATGTTAAAAAGATTGGGGAGAGCATTGCAAGACGTGAATTTTGAAGTTGAAGGCAAATTTTCCGTCGTTTTGTTCGCTATAGAAAGGAAATTGGTGAACATCTGAAGCCTGGTATAATTTTCCGGCTTAGTCATATGAAGTAATTGCTGGCACTTGCTCATCTTTGAAGCCTAATAAATTTATAGTTTTGTTATTGTGTCAGTGGCATGTCCTGTTGCAGCGTTTCCTATGACTATGACTATGACTATGACTGACTATAGCGCTGCCTCCATAAGATTGTGCAAAAACATCTCTCGCGATAGAGCCTAAATGCTAGGAGGCAACAAACCTCTCCAATCTTGTACAGCCGTTTTTCCCCCAGTCTTAATCTTTATTTAAGTTTATTCTTTCATTGTCACGCCACGGGCACAGATGTGTTTTGGATTCAATGATTCTATAATTTGGTTTGGCCCTCTTGAATGAACTACGAACGTATAATTTGGGTTATCCCTCTTGAATGAAGTACAAACGTGTAAAGCGTACATTGAGCCTGTGTGGTTCTTGAATTTATAGTAGAAATATTAGAATGGAAACAAATGTTAGCTGCGATTCTAACACTCCCCTTTATTCTTTTTCTTGCTCTTAAATCCACCTCAGCCCATACAATTTTGTCCTTTTCAATGCTTCAATTCTTTGAAGAAATTTAAAAATGATCTTTACAAATAATCTTAATTTCATCAATTGAGAGTGCCTTAATGACTAGTTCTAGAAAACCTTGTATAACACTACATAGCACTAGATTTGAACAGAAGTCAAGCTATAACCATAAAAGACCAAATTTGACAATTACTCCTCGAATAGAGGAAATTGAAGAACCAATTGGTGTGGTACAAAGATAAACAGGGAGAGAAGAACGCCGAATGAAAAGGACAAAAAAAAAACAAAAAAGGAAATAACAGATCCACGAAAACAAAAAAGCCTCGCCTATCATATTTTTGCACTCTTAATACGTATGGACAAAATACAAGAAATTCTTTATGCAAAAATTTCCTATAGGAAAGAATATAAGTCATCAATTAACTTTGGAACTCCTGTCTTTACACAGCATATGCCATTCTTGTAGCACAGCTACTTGAAGAGCACGATGCTCGACTTCCTCCGGAGTTAACTTGAACAATGTGGTAGGCCCCTTAGTCTTGCCAACTTCCTCCCCACTTTCCTTCTTATCCTCCTCGTCTTCCTTGTCCTCCTCACTCTCGCGTTCTTCCTCCTCATCAGACTTGGGAGACTTGGGACGAGGCCGTGCTGCCTTAAGCAATGCTATCCGCTCCATTGATATCCTCAGCCTCTCAGCAGCAGCCACCTTCACTTCATCTTCAGGCATGTACTCGACACCCCGTCAGTAAGGTCATCTAACCAGCCCTGTAGATCTGAACCGATCTCCTTTGTAATTGATGAATCAGAAGCTCGAACAACAAATTTGCATATCATTGTTGTTGTCTCATCACCTAGGTCCACATTTCGGCTAACCTCACTGGCTCCAAATATCATCATGCCAACAAAGCCCCCATACCAAGTTTTTGCAGCAAAACACAACTATTTAAAACAGAGAAGCAATGAGAAGCTGAAATATTGAATTTGACCAAATGCACAGAGAGAGAGAGAGAGAGAGAAACGTGAATTCTAGAAGTAATTTGGCGTTCTTTCAACATTTCCTCATAAAGAATTACAATTATGTTCATTCATCAGAAGAAATGGAGGGATCAACAATTCAGATAAGCTTTTTGAAGCCAAAGCATGAAACAAAACCTGAAAGCCAGCACTTTTATGTGTTGGCATGATATGCAAATTATGGTATTTCCAACTTTTATGTGTTGTGTCTGTTGTCTCATGACAAAATGCTTCAAGTGTAATCAGATTCTATAAAAGTTAAGGGCTGAGGTTTCACAATGACTCTGTCTGACTATTAGGTTCTTAAAAAATTCCAACACAAACCTTGAAGTGAAAGCATGAAACAAACCTGAAAGCCAGCAACAGTCCTGATGATATGCGAACAAACTCTATGGAAAGGCTTTGAAGACAGAGATTTCAGACCACTAAGGAAAGGAGATTCCCCATACTGCTGTGCAGCTGTAGCCTTGAAGCCACTTCCTTCATACGTATATGTACCAGTATATTCTATTATAGCGGGTAGACTAGGCCATAGGCGGAAATATTCAACTGGAGAAATCTTATGTGGCAAAAGAAGTTCAGTCAGGGGAATCCTATAAGGTTGACATCTCAAAATCACAGGTTCACCTAATTCAGGCCTTAGGCTTTTCTTTTGTCTAATGATTTGTGGATCATCTTCAGAGTAGTCCCCTTCATAATCAGCTGGAGCACCACTGCCATAGAAGGGGTAATACAAGACTTGGACCCAAAGAGCACATTGCTCAAAATGTGAAACACCTACTGTCACACTGCAGATCACTGGTTCCTGAAATAAGCATATAAAATTAACCACAAATATTCTCATAGATATCTGAAGACAACAGGACAATTGCTTTTAGAAAAACATTAAATTTTGTACCAGGTCAAACACACACACACACACACACAAGTGTAGATAAACAGAAGAAAGGTATAAAGTGCTACACTACAAGATGAGACACAAGCAGGAAGATTCTTCTGACTCCAAAACAATACTTCAGCCTCAGATATAGCATTAAAAAGAAGAATGCACTATGCTTTAGCTGCATCTCATCCAACAAATTAAAATGAAGTGCAATTCCTCGCAAAATTCAAAGTCAGGTGACTGCAAGTACTTGTTTTTTCAAGGTAACCTGCAATATACAAAGACATACCAGAGCAGTATGGAGAGCTCTTACACATGCTCCTCCACCATAAAGGTAAAACGAGATAGACAAGCAGAAGAGGAAGCACTGATAATGTTATCTCCTCCACAGTTCAGCTTTCTTTAGGTTAATGTTAGCCAGGAGAGAAGTAGGACAAAAATAATTAAATTGAGTGCTGCTCAGTAGCATGAAGGGTTATTCAAGTTCCAAGTTAACAAAAGAAGAACCTAGCAAGCAATCTATGTCAATTTCCCTTCTCATATAGCACTTTGTAAAGATTTCACATTTTATTTTCCATAATCAAAAGTTCCATATCCTTTTCAAGGAAAAAGATATACAGTAAGAAGTAATTTACAAAGACAAAAATAAAAAGGTACATTTATAAAAGGTAGGACAACACGTTTGAATCTGGCACCTGTGAATTAAGATCACGCAATTGCCGCAATGCTTGTGGAGATCCATCCATGAAATATAGTCCACCTGATAGCCCAACTCTTATATCCACGCGATTCAGTTCAATTTCTGTCAAATTCAGAACCTGAAAGCATTCTCAGAGTTCAAAACACAGAAAAGAATCCAGTATTTGATCAAAGGCTTGTTAATGACTCTATATGACCTGCACTTGCACATAAGGGGATGGAGGAACTCATAGATAGGAAGACATGATGTAGAAAAGTGCCTCTAAAAAAAGAGACCTCATTACAAAAGGTTATCTCTTTCCCAGCCAATACTGCAGCAGAGTAAAAAATGTTTAAACATGAGCATGCTGTTAGAAGAACCAAATGCAAGTTACATGGCATTACACATTCCACTTAACTTCACCCTCACAGCTTCTAAAACGTCTAGAGGAAGGTAAATTAATGCCTTTGGTTCTTCATAACTCAAACTGCTTTCAGATGATACAAAACTGTCTAGGAGGTAAATCCCAACATAATGTCTTTGGGCCTTCACAGCTCAAACTAATGTCTTTGGGCCTTCACAACTCACACTGCTTTCAGTTGATACAAAACTCTCATGCAGGCATATGCCAACATTCACAAGAATTTTCAGAGAGTGGAATATGCACCAAATAACTTTTTCTGCCCCAATCACGATCCATATCGTACAACTGTGAAAAAATAACTGCACTAGTTTTGGCAAAAGAGAATAAAACTAATATTCCCATGAATCATTCCCACTCACTGTCATTATTGCAAGACAACATTACTCAAGAAAGTGATGCACAACAAATAAAGAATGGATTAAAAAATAAAAAAGACAGGAGGTAAAAACCTTTAAATGCAGAGTGATCCTTCCGTCATTTGGATCTGACAAATGATATGCTTCCACATAGCATGGATCACTGCTACCAGTCAAAGTACATGCCCTTGGGGGAACCTTGATTCGGGTAGAGTCTATTCCTTTCGACAATAATACTGTTAGTTCACTAGGATCAGGCCTCCAAAGTTCTAAAAGCGCCTTGTGCACTAGTCCTTCCAGCTTCCGGTCTTGGGCCGTAGATGCTTCATAAAATTGAACAGTTAATTTGTGATGGCTAAATGGATAATCTCCTCTAGCTTCACTCACCCCAGCCCACCTACAAAGAATGAATGGGACACAGAAAAGTGAAAAATAACACAAGTGGATCCACAAGAATCAACTGATGAGTGTTTGCCACAAATAGCATGAGAAGTGGGAGAAAAGCAGGAAAATTTCAATTCTGAACTGAAGGGAAAAGAATGGGATGATAAAGTTTGTCTTTCACAAGTTAGTATTGATTAAGCTCTAATTCCTCAAAATTAGCATTTTTTTAAACTTAAGGGATCCAAGTGTGACCAGAAGTATACATCTTCTAGAATATCTTAACAATAATGCACTAAATTTTTAGGTACTTTATAGATGAGAAAAAGTTTCAAGTGAAAATTTCCATTATCACTTTGCACCTGAAGCTTAGCTGTGTCAACCATGGTGACTTGGACATCTGGAAATACCATTCCTGCTAGGGTGGGTGATCTAATTCAGAATCTAGATCCACAATTGGTTTAGAGGGTCTACACCAAAGTGTTTTTCTAAATTCTCTACTCATTTACTTTACATACTGTACATCCATACCTCTGCAATTTCTCATAAATTAAAACACGTAAATATATGCAAGCATAAAAACACACATTCAGATGCAGAGAAAGAAAAATATCGTGGGCCTCATCTGATCTTGTCACATCCAGCTCTGGTGCTCAGTTAAGCAAGCAGAACCACAAAACTACCTTGACAAACTTGACAATGAGTTTTACCTTAATTAATTGCTTTCTCTGTTGTCAACAGAATGAACTAATTGGACCAAATTATGGTATAACATCACAAGAAGCTTACTTGATCTCTGGGTGACTTGAAACGTATTTGATTCTCTGCAAAATCAAACGACATTGATGCTTATTGACAGAATCAGCTGAGGCATTGGTTCTGAACTCTTCAAGCTCCTTAGTAATCAACTGCCCAGCCCTAGCATTTCGTGATCCCAGTCGCTGAGCACATAGAAGAACAGCCTGAACATCTTGCAGCCGATTTGTAGCGCTTGCTGATGAGTCTGTGTTAAACAGAACTTTATGGATATTGGCTACTATAATGTTCAGTTGATCTTCAGGATCATCAGCAAGAAGTGGATCCAGACCTTCTAGATCTATGTGTTCTGAAATAGCCCACATAACACGGGCTAGTATTCTAGGGGTGTTCACCTGACATATGCATCATGCTTTTAAATAACAACAAATCAAACAACATCACAAGCTTACATAAAACAGAAACTTCCAATAAAGATTATCGCCTTGAACAGCAAAAGAATACAGAGAGGGACAAATAAGAATAAGCAAGAGGATAAACAAAAGATAAATGATAATGGCAATTTGTTACTTGTTAATGGCACTCACTTTGATCCTTTAACCTTGTGAATTAGACAACAATATGCCCATCATTGGTTGAATTTACAACCACCCCTTTTTCATGAAGTTGTAATTAAAATGAAGAGTATGGGCAATTTTATATTTTCACATGAGGACAAAAGTCAATAGGGGTGCCATTAACATTTCCCTAAACAAAATAGGTAACTAAAGTCTCAACCCACTTAAACTACAGTAATCAAGGATTAAACAGGAAGATTGAAGTTGAACAGGTTATATGGTTACGTGGCATGAGCTCAATTTGCCTATGGTGTAACTTGTGAGGTTGTCAATTTACATCAAACAAAGTAAAAAGATTACAGAAATTGTACTATGAAGAATAAAATGCATTATACTGATAATCCAGCAAAAAAAAAAAAGAAGAGACGCAGCAATTACACTTGGCCGAATTACAAACCTCACGTAAATCTCTGACAAGTTCACGTTGCAAGTTCTGTAAACGTGTCTCATTTAGAATTTGGTCCTGAGATGCTCCATCTTTGATCCTTTTGACCCCTCCTCTAGTATCATAAATGTGGCAAAGTCGAACCAGCAACTTCAAGTAGCAATCAATGGCATAATTTCGACCTTCACAATCCCATTTGACACATGGCCTACACACTTCAACAACTTCCAGAGCTGGTTCAGTCCAATTTAAAGCACCATAACCAGTTCCATAAGCTAATGCTCCAATAACTCTGCTTTCCATGCCCGAATTTTTCTGTTCAGGCAATGGTAATGACAGCTGAAAACAGCTTTCAACTAGCATGGCAACTAGTTCTTCTCTGAATAAGCTTTTACTTCCTACACTGTTAAGGTCATCTCTTATCCTGGCATCCTCAAAAAGGGAAGCAATATCAGTCCCTGGAAGAGGCTTTTGACCTCTTCGAACACTTTCCTTTGCAAAAAGATCGACACAGAGAGCAGTCCTACAGATGCATGCCAAAGCGTGCATGCGATCTGATTCTGCTCTCAAGTTTCTCACCATGAGAAGCAGCCTTTTGAATAAAGATACCTGCAAGAGATAAAGTAAAGGAATGATGTCAAAAGTATTACTGCAATAGGTGTAAAAGTGACAGAAATCTCTACTAAACTAATATTTTTTAACCGCGAAAAAAAAGAGTGTCGATCTCTGCCTAGAAAATGGGAGCTCTGCTCCAGCAGTCCTTGTACCACACTAAATGCAGCCAGATATCAACACGCAAAACGGGTGTTTGATAATCCTATCAAGTACTCGTTAGGTGTTTGATAATCCTATCAAGTACTTAAACTTAATGGATTAACTGCTTTTTTTATTAAGTTTGATAGATAACAAAATTCCCTAATCTCTGAATACATTAAGAGGCGCTTAATTTCTTTACAAAATTTTAAGTGAAAGTTAGATCACTTAATTTGCAGAATGTTTAAATGGTAAAATAATAACACTCATTCAAAATTATTATTTCACATACCCACACACTTTCATACACATACATACACTCTTTCTCTCTCATGCACTTTCGCACATATACATATAGTCTCTAACACACAGTAACAGCACACATACTCTCTCTCTCTCTCTCACTCACTCACACACACACACAAAAACTAACACATGTTTTTTTTTCTTTTTTTTGCCAATACACATTTTTAACATAATTTATTAATTATACACAAAAAAACACGCATTTTTTCTCTCAAATACACATTAACATACAAAAACACACACACAAATTTGATTTTCATACTGGTATTTCAGTTTAGAGGTGATATTTAAAGAGCTAATTCAATACAATAGATAAATATGGTATCATCAAACAGATTTTACGTAATGAATTCCGCAAATTTAGACTTAAGTACTTAATTTTCAGTCTTCAAATTTCAGTTTTATTAAATACCACAGTCCTCTAGGTGACAATTGCATAATGGATCAAAGATGTTTAACCATTGACAAGAAAGTCCATTTTCCTGCACTCTTAAACTCCATTAAATAGACAAGAAAGAAGGTTTTTCCATTGGCGTAATCACAAATAAAATGCATCTAAATGAAGATATAAATCACATTTCAATCACAAACAAAAGGAAAATAAACAAGCACCAAGGAGGCAATAATATTAAAATGATGAAGTAGAAAAACGAGACGATAATAATACAATGTGCAAAGCCAAAAGCAAACCATCTTGAGCTAATGTAATGTGAAGTTATTTGGTGTCAATGCAAGACAATTGTTTAAGGTGAGGAAAGCTTCACGGACCTGCATACTAAGGTCAAGGAGATGCAGATTCGTAACTACGGCTCTAACAATACTCTCTCGAGCAGAGGAGAACTCTTGCCTGTCCCAGAGAGTCAGAATTGCAATAGTTGACGCGGAAGCCCATTCCGGCTTGCCTCCGGGAACATCAGCCAAGTACAACATATTTATCCCCACCTCGAAAATCAACGCAGGCTCCAACGAGGAAGAAAGGAAGGGAGCAAGATGCGTCACCACATCCGACACTCCTATAAACCTCTCCGCATTGACAGACTCCAAAGTGCTGGCATTCTCACTCTTAGAAGACCTGGAAAGCTTCTTGATCACTTGTAATGAACCTGAAGCCACGGCCTTGACTGCGTAGACAAGTGGATAAACTGTTGCCCTGAAACTCTCCACTGGCAAAATCAAGGACCTGGCCATTAGCGAACTCCGTTTTTTCCAAACAAATTCCACCATAGAAGAGACCCAATTGGATCGAATGGCCACGGAATTCTCGCTGTCAACAAGCTTGTCTCCGGCCAGCCTACTCATCCGCTTGGATTCGAATTCCTGAAAGAGTCTGCCGACGGATTCGAAAGCGACCTTGGAGACGACGTCGGATTTGTCTAGCATGTTGTGGCCGATGCGAGTCCACCAATTAGAGACGCGATCCAGCAAATTGATGTTGTTCTCGCACAAGGTAACGAGGTCATCACGGGCGAGGACGCAGCCCAGGGTCTCGGTGATGGAGAAGCGAAGGTTGTCGCTGGGAGAGTCGAAACAGTTGGAGATTTCCTTGTTGCAGTCGGCGATGAGCTTGCCAAGGCGGTAGGAGGGGATGGCAGCGAGGATGGAGACGGCTGCGGCGGTGACATCGGGGTCGGGGAAGTCAAGGTCGGTGCGGATGCCGGTGCAAACTGTCTCCCAGAGGTCGGCAGTGAGACGAGTGGAACGAATAAGGTCAAAGGCAAGCTTTTTGGAGACGGCGGAGGCGGGAGACGCGACGATCTCTTCGACGGCAGATTTGGCAAGGACGGAAATGTCGCGGCCAGCAGCGGATTGCTGGAGAGCTTGGAGGAGAGCGCCAGACTGGCGGAGGGCATCGTTGGAGCGGAGGTCCGCTTGGATCTGAGCGAATAAGATGTCCATTTTACTTTTTACTCGTATAATTGATTAGGAGAAGCTAGAGCTAAACAGCAACATTATTATCAAAACACGGCCACTGCCCGGCGCCCCTACCTCTTCAGTCCTTCCCCGTCCACAACCAGCTGAGAAAAAAATGGTAGTGCTGTTATAGTATAATTAAAACCCAATAAAAAAAATTGAACATTTGAGGAGATGAAGAAGAAAATGGGAGTTATCTGGGGTACAAGAAGTTTGTTTGGGCAGAAAACGAACAGGAGAGGTCGAGGGGGTGGTACTGTCCTAAATCCTCCTTATTAGCCTCGCTTGACTATTTTTACCCCGTTTATCTGTTGGGAAACAAGTACAGCCAGCGCACTGAAGGGAAAAAGATCTCTTGTTTGTTTGCGTTACAGTCAAGCTTCTCATCATTCAGGAACGGGTTTGGTTTGTTTGGATTGGATTTTATTTCCCCAAATTTATTTGCTTACATCATCGTTACAATTTTCAATACACTTTTTTACCTTCTCAATTACCTTTTTATCTCACATACATCACATCACAAAAAGTGTTACAGTAAAAATATCTCTAATAATTCACAATCCAAACAGACCAGGACTTGCTTGCTCGCTTCATGTTTGGATTTGGAAAAACTTTAATTTTTTTTTTTTCTGTTAACACATCTTTCTATTATATTTTTATTTTATATACATTAAATCATTACAATATAAATTTTATAAAAATTTTTAAAAAATAATAATCTAAATAGGATATAATAGTTTTTATGTATAAAATGACCAAAACGGTCACTAAATTATTAAATATGATGTGGATTAATCATTGAACTTTTTTTTTGTAACCACAAAGGTCGTTAAATTGACAAAAACGAGTCATCGATAAAATGAGTTTTGACAAATGATTATTTTACTAATAAAATTTGACAAAATGACCTCGATACGTTAAAATTCAATAATCTTTTTGATAAAATAACCTTTAATAAATGATTGTTTTGTCGGTAAAATTTGATAAAATAACCTCATTAACTCGTTTTCTTTGTCTTTTTGGCCTTTGTTTTATGATTTTTTTTTCTCATCTAATAGGTTCATAATTCAACACTTGTGCTCTTGCCCAATAATGGACCTTTGCACATACAAATATTTCACATTCCAGTTTTTATTAATCCTCAAATTAATTAAAAACGCAGACTCATCGTAATTCATTCATCAACTCAAGCCTTTATCCAAGATGCTCATCAATCTCCTCTCCACCAAGCTCTAAATAGTAAGAGCCATCACTCCCCAATTCCCTCTTATTGTTATCATTTTCAAAATTCCCTGGGCTTCAATTTCAATTTTTTATTCCTCCTTCCTGTATGCTGTGATGGATGTGGCTTGTCTGCAACAAGCAAAGTGTATTCCGTTGCCGTTTCATTCTTCCACTCGTCTGCCTAGGGTTTCGGTTTTGGTCCGTAATAATCGAAGAAATGCCTCTTCATACCCAGTCAAGAACTTGTGTTCCGCTTCCAATTTCGATACCCTTGTCGCCGCCGGGTCGATTAGGGAGGATAAGAAATTGAAGGCGGGTATTGGCAGTAAGAAAGAACAAGAAGAGCAGCAGTGGGACGTGAAATCCTGGATGCACCGCAATGGCCTCCCTCCTTGTAAGATTCTTCTTAAAGACGGGCCTTCTCACGTTCCCAACCATCGTCCTATTCACTACGTTGCTGCCAGTGAGGATCTTCAGGTTAACTTTTGCACCAACTATTTGCTGGCTTTCCAATTCTTTTTTGTTTTTCTTCCCTCTTACAACACTTCTTCCTTTTTATCGTGGCCCACTCTTGCTGTTTCAATTTTTTTCCTTTCTGTCGTTGTAGGCTGGGGATATTGCCTTTTCTGTTCCAAATTCGTTGGTGGTGACACTGGAGAGAGTTTTGGGGAACGAGACTGTGGGTATGGAAATTGATTTTGCTTATAGTATAATTCACTGCCCTGGCTAGATGCTGTTGTGTCATTCTCGTAAAATCTGAATAATGGTTTGATTTTGGAATGCCAAGAACCTGGTGATCATCAGTTGACTAAATAACAACCAGTTGCTGTATACTGTTTAGATACTAGTTAAGAACCAATGATGCCAATGATATATTTGTTTTAGTACCATTATGGGCCGTTGAGAATATAAAATTGCCCTTTACAACAGTGTTCTTGTCAATAGAGAGCTTCAGGAAGTTCATTAGATCTTGACAGAGTGCCTTTCTTTATTTGTAAAATGCAGCGGAGCTTTTGACCACAAACAAATTATCTGAGTTAGCCTGCTTGGCGCTGTACCTAATGTATGAGAAGAAGCAAGGCAAGAATTCATTTTGGTATCCATACATTAGAGAACTTGATCGTCAGCGGGGAAGGGGGCAGTTAGCTGTGGAATCACCACTTCTATGGTCAAAGGCCGAACTAAATTACCTTACAGGGAGTCCTACCAAGGCACGTCAAGCTCCCCTCTTATTGTAGATTTGAAACACATGCTGCATCTTGGATTCTTAAATGGTTTTCTGTTGTTAAATTAGGGCGAAGTTCTGGAGAGGGCTGAAGGGATCAAAAGAGAGTACAATGAGCTTGACACTGTCTGGTTTATGGCTGGATCACTATTTCAGGTCCTTTTGTGTATGAGAACTGATGTTTAGAGATGGATGGATAGTTCTTTTGGTCTTTCTTCCAGTTTCCTTGATTATCTTTGTTCCTCTACTGTATTAGTCAATTTTTAGTCATTTTAGATCTTTATTTTCTGTTATTGTCTTTCAGCAATACCCATATGATATACCGGAGAGCTTTCCTTTCGAGATTTTCAAACAAGCTTTTGTTGCAGTTCAATCCTGTGTTGTGCATCTGCAGGTACTTCATGTGCCAAATTGCATACATGTGCACGCTCAATTTCGGAAAAAATGTGTTCCAAAGACTGATACATTTTCAAGAAACATCAGAGGGAAACTTTACACTTAAGCGTTTTAGATTAAGAAGAAAGAACATATATTTAAAGGTTTCTCTCTTTTCAGAAAGTCAGTTTAGCCCGGAGATTTGCTTTGGTTCCTTTGGGACCTCCCTTGTTGTCATACAGAAGCAACTGCAAGGCGATGTTAACTGCTGTAGATGATGCTGTGCAACTTGTGGTTGACCGCCCATATGAGGCAGGGGACCCTATTGTTGTCTGGTATAGATTTCTCAGCTCGATACCCTTTCTTGCAAATTGTTAAGCTGATTCACAATTGCAGATGCACTTTCCACGGTTTTCATCCTGGTGACATCTACAATGTCATGTGAGTTTAGTGGTTATGAACCATGTGTTTCTGTAGGTGTGGACCACAACCCAATTCAAAATTGCTCATCAACTATGGTTTTGTTGATGAAGACAATGCACATGATCGCTTGGTGGTTGAGGTATAGTCGATGTTTCTCTCTTCTCCTGCAGTTTTCTTCAGGGTAAAATAATTGGTGTTTATTCTATCTGGCCATCAGGCAGCTTTGAATATTGAAGATCCTCAGTATCAAGACAAGAGACTGGCTGCTCAAAGGAATGGAAAACTGTCGCTACAAACTTTTCATGTATGATTCAACTTTCCTGGTATTGGCATGCATGGTAGTTGCCTTTATAAGTTGTATCATCTGCTTTAACCCAGGTGCATGCTGGAAAGGAGAGAGAAGCTGTGCTAGATATGCTACCTTATTTGAGATTGGGATATGTTTCAGATGCTTCAGAGATGCAGTCTGTCCTATCTTCTCAGGGTCCAATATGCCCGGTAGGGTGAAATTATTCTCTTTACTTTCAATTCTACCATTTGATGCATAAATACCTTATGGAAATTAGTTTACCTCATTTCTAAGCAAGGCATGCTTGCTGTATAAGATGGTAATTACATTCTGCTTCCATTCATTGTTGTGAAGTACCACAAATCTTTGGATATGGAACTTTTTTCTTTTAAGCTGTGCAGGATTCTCAAGTGAACATGGAGTTTTGAGGTTGAACACTGTTGTGTCTTGTTATAAGTTGGTTCTAAATGAGCACACTACTTTTATCTCCCTGACTATTTAAGCTTTACTTCTTTAAGGCTATGGACAGAAAACGTTACAAGATGGATTTGTAGTGGTTCACTTACTGGGGAATTTGTATATTTAGACTTTGCATGTGAACTCTCTCCTGTTTCCCCGTCTTCCCTGGAAAGTCAGCTAACTTGAGTTGACAATTCTTTTGAGGAAAAAGCAAGGAATTAAATGATACTAATGCAGATTTTGATTATTATCATAATACAAAAAGCTTAACTTGGTATATTAAAAGAAGTTACCATCAATAATATTAAAATGTGAATTATTCAAAATTTAAAGGATTTTTACTGAATATCATAGGTGAGTCCGTGTATGGAGCGTGCAGTTCTGGACCAACTTGTTGATTTTTTCAAAACAAGGCTGGCTGGTTACCCTACGACTCTCATTGAGGATGAGGCTTTGGTAATCCATCGGTAACTTGCATGATTTAGTCATTGTCTAGACATTTTCTGACTTCCCTGTGTGTCTTTTACTTTAGTTGGCAGATTACAATCTTGATCCCAAAAAGAGAGTCGCTACACAGCTTGTCAGATTGGAGAAGAGAATTTTGGATGCATGTTTACAAGCTACAGTTGACATGATACATGAGCTGCCAGATCATTCTGTATCTCCATGTCCAGCCCCTTATGCTCCAATTTTGAAATGATGGGTCTGACTCCAAGTGACTTTTTATTCTGTCCGTGTCTCCTTTTGTGTGGTCATCTTTTGTTAAAACAAGAAGAATCATTTCAGATAGTAGCACTTTTCACAAGAGCTTAATACAAGTTCTTGAGCCAGTTGGTTGACTATGAGGTCAGTAATAATAAATATTTATTTATTACTCATTTTGATTCTACAAGAAAGAAAACTTGATCAAAGATTGAGCTGTTATGTGAATTCCAAGTTTCTTTTTGAGATGGAATAGATGACATCAGATCATAGATATATTTTAAATTG